CGATTTTTTGATGAAACAGTTCAAAAGCAAACTAAAACTAAAAAATTTTTTGAAAAATATATTGCTGAAAATTTTAAAAATTCATTTACTCTTAGAAAACACCAAAAAAATTAAATTTATATTAAAAAAAAAATATGGAATCCCTTATATTAGGGCAATTCACGAAAACACGTAAACTTACTTAATTTTGTATGGAAAATCGGTTTATTTACGAGGTTTACGCGATTACAAGGCATTTACGAGTTTCCATGAATACCCATATTATAAAAAAATTTCAAAAGCGTAAAAATCACAATAAGAACTTTTGTAATATCGAAATCGGGAAAAATCTTACAAAACTTCTTTCAAAACTGGAAAATTGTATTTGCCAAGCGTCCTCGAATTTGCCTGGAAAATGTGAAAATACATAACGTCTTTCTGTTATCCGATTTGGAGAATGAGCCTATCTAGGGGGAGTTTTGCCTGAAAAAATAAGGCGCACCCTAATGTACATATGTACATACACATGAACTTGGAAATCAAGGAAAGAAAAAACACGTTCTTGGTTGAGAATCACAAACTCATAAAATATTAAGAACAAACACAAAAAGGATTTGGAAATTCTATGAATATTTATGAGAAATAAAATAAAATAAATATAATATTTGTGAAAAATTAAGAAATATATATAAGTATATAACTGGAAAAATAGAGTAAGTGACAATTTTTTCGAAATTTTCTATTTGATGAAGAAATGCTTAGACAATCTCTGTAGATGTATTGCTACATCAAAAGGACAATTTTAAGTATCAGTGCAAAATGCTGCAAAATTACAAAAAGAAGTTTCAAATTTTATCGTTTTTTTTCAATCAATATTCTTACACTATTTCTTCTTCTTGCTCATTGCACTTTATACTTGCTTCTTTCGTCGGTCTCTTTCTATCTAAATTTGCTTTATACTATATCTCTTTCAACATTTTTTTTTCTATTTCAGCTGTTTGGAGAACGGCACCTGGTATCATCATCCTGTCAGTGGACGCGAGTGGTCCAACTACACAAATTGCATTGACTATGATGACTTAGAGGTAAGTATATGTTAAGCGATAAGTAGTTTACGGAGGTTGAGATTCCGAGGCTAGAAAGGAGAATATTAATTTACACTTTCAGCTATTTACATATGTATGAATTCTCAATTAGAGGATTCTTGCCTTTAGGAAGGAGAATTCTTTATGTGGGCCTGATTTGAGTATATCATCAACTTATTCTCATAAAAAAATTTCTTCATACATCAGTTGAGAATTGCACATTTATACTCAGTAGGTGAATGAAATAATTAGCAGGCAGCAAAACTTGCGCTTTTTACCAAGACTTTAAAATTTTAAATACAACTTAATTCAGAACTTGGATTTTTCTCAAAATGATGTTGTTATACACGCATTTCTATCATCCTTCCACATTTCTTTTTATTTCTCATCAACAGTTTCGCAGCTTTGTAAATGAGTTATACGTGAAAGGATATGCTGTCTCCTTAACCGCCTTGGTGCTCTCACTTATCATATTCCTTGGCTTCAAGTAAGTATTCAGCAGGTGCAGGAAACTCTTAAACAAATATCAGCACGTCATTTATGCAATTTATTCACTGCCGGCGTGTAAAAAGTTCTAACACAGCCATACATGTACATATTTTCTTTCTCGGTCTCGGCTATTTACTCCTCATTTAATATGCATAAACGCATAGATCCTTACGCTGCACACGCATACGCATACACGTACATTTATTCGCCTCATTGGCATTCACTTGCATCGCTTGGATACTTTGGTACAAATTAGTGGTCGAGCAACCGGATTTAATAGGCAATAATCCGGTGAGTAACAATTGGGGTAAAGGGAGCATAAACTAGATTAAGTTCATTTGCAAGTGAGTGTGTGTTTGTGTTGTGGTGCAATGATGTGGCAAGCAACTGATACAAAACATAAGCTTATCAAAGTTTATCTAGTAATAGTTCAATGTGTGTATGTATGTGCGTTCTGTGTGGTTGTAGTAGTGCGTTTATGTAGAGCTAATAATTATTATTAATATTGTATTTACTAGATATTCTAATTTCATGTGCGTATATTTATTGATTTTCTGAAATTCTCGCATTTTCCTTCCCTGCCCCAACACAGCCCTGGTGCATTTTGCTACACTTCGTCGTACACTATTTCATGCTGGTCAATTATTTCTGGATGTTTTGTGAGGGGCTGCACTTACATTTAGTGCTGGTAGTGGTGAGTTCAACAATTCTAAATTACATACTTATACATGTACATACAGTTGTCCACAAAATAATAGGAGTACGATATTTTGACCAATTTTAGACTATTTCTCTTTTGTTTATTTAATATTTATTATTTTTTTATAAANTGTACATACAGTTGTCCACAAAATAATAGGAGTACGATATTTTTACCAAGTTTAGACTATTTCTCTTTTGTTTATTTAATATTTATTATTTTTTTATAAAATTCTAGCTGGTTATACAACAAACACCATATATGTAAATTAAGATTTCAAACTTTGTACAAAAATTATAAAAATGTCTTTAGAAGAAATTGTGGTATGCAGTTTTGTGGCACTCCTTGAACCTTAGGGAGTACTAAGTATTTACAATGGACGCGATTTTTGTAGGGGTATACATAGCATCACAAATTGGATCACAAATTTGTGTTTTTTTCTGTTCCACGGATGGCCCTATCTATACTCCATGCAGAATCGCTCGCTGGTTTCGAAAATCGCGTTATTTTTTTATTCTACGCATAAGTTTTCGAGATATTTTTAACCGGATGTGCATTACTTTCCTATAGAACTGATAGTTTCTGAGAAATTTATTAACCATTACCGTTTTTTATTTTTTGGTGAAAAAAGGAAATAAATGAAACTTTGACGGGAAATGAAGCAAATCGATGGATAAATAAAGAATGTTGCCGCATTTTCATTTGACTGCTCATTACTTCTTTATTTATTCATCGATTTTCTTCATTAGTAACTTGATTTTTTTGATACAGAACAGGCTTTAACATAAATGCGAAAAAATACGCAGAATCTGTTATTTCTAAAGTTTTCTATTGTTAAAGTTTATTTTTTTTCCATTTTTTATCCCAAAAAAAACACAAACTCTGGATGATTAATTAATTTGTCAGACTGTCAGACCTATCGAAAAGTGATGTACATACGGTTCATGGAGAATTTCGTTAGCTTTCGTTAAACGTATTTCATATTAGGCTTGTTAAATTGGTTCGTAAGATACATACATGTACGTGGGTAAGTGAAACCACTTTTTGTTTTATGCTGAATACCGGTAAATTGAAAATATCTCGAAAACTTATATATAAAATAAAAAATTAACTATATTTTCAGAATCAGCGAAAAATTCTATATAGGAATTCGATAGTTGCATCCGTTGAACATTTTTGCTCTAAACCAGTGCTATTAACAACATACACACATAGCTTTACTAAAGGTAAATTTGCCATCTCAATTCAGCGCTCCGAACCCCCACTCCCGTAAGCGTCGGCTTTGGATTTTTGATTCATAAAGATTATTAAAAGTTGATTGCTCGTGTTATGCAAGCCGGAAGTGCACACATAAAAAAAACACGGGCAAACGCTTACATATGTATAAAACATGCACAAGCACACATGCTAAAACTCTATGCGCAAAGAAGTACGTGAGCGATTTTCCATGCATACATGCACATGCATACCCTGCAGGAAACGGTTATAGCTAACTTATAACTACCCAGCAGTCCATTAGTTATAACTTTTTATTAATTATTTCCTTAGACCGTAACTAACTACTTTTGAAGAGCTTTGGCAGCAAAATAGTGAGAACTGGTTTCCTTTGCATTAGATGTCAACTAACTTGTAGCTAACTACTTTTGTACATAAACTATCAATAAAAAAAAATTTAATTTTTTAATTTTTTTATATCTACTTTTTTAACATTACATATCGACTGCTGAGTGGAAGATCGACCTATCTCGGCAGCCAGTTCGAAAACGCCCTATCTCAAAAAACATTTCAAGAACGCCCTATTTCAGAATTTTATTGAAAAACACCCTATCTCAGAATTCTGTTCAAAAACGCCCTATCTTACTTCAAAATGTATTAAAAATGTGCTGATATAGGGCATTTTTGATCGATATTTGAATTCGATCAGACATAACATCAAAATGCTAATATAAAATGTCGACCTTTATTTTATTTGTCCTGAATTCGAAAAAGAATCTGCGCAGTACAGAAAAAAGTGTATTGAAAGCAATCTTTGTATGAGGATATCTAAATAGAAACTTGTAAAAAAAACATACTTACTCCCGACAACGTCTGCATGACTACTGCATGTCTTTACAACTCACTTTAAGTTAGTTATGTAATAGCCAATTAAAAGTTAGTTAAAAAAGCTAACTAGAAGTTGGTTATTTGAAACAATTGATAATTTTTTTTCTGCAGGGTATGTATGTACATTCCCTGTAGTGAAAAGCTGAACCAGTATGCACAAATTCCAGTTCATGAACTATTATTTAATGATAAAAGTCATACCAGTTCATTATGAACCATAATTATACCAGTTCCTCATAGAAAAAAGTAAACCAGTTGGTAGAAATTCTAGTTAGAAAACTGGTATTTAATTGAGAAGTCAAACCAGATTGTCATGGACTATAATTGTACCAGTTCTCCGCAGTGAAATGCCAAACCAGCCAGTATAAATACTAGGTCATTAACTAGTATGTGCCAAAGCGACGGCCTACCATTTCGGCGATTTCGAAGAACTTATGCGATTAGCGACGTCTGTCTTTTAATAGGCACAACAAAACTAAAATGCGGTTAATTGCTTTCATCGCAAATGTCGGCTGTGGCGTCGAGTGAAGACTACCGATTCTGGTTCAGAGATCTCTGGTTCGAGTGCGCGTGTAGGTTGTTAGAGTAAAGTAAGTGTAAATTAATTTAAATAATTATTTCAATTTAAATATAAAATAAAAGTTGAACATAAATTTAGTTTGATTTGGAGAAAACCTAAATACTTAAATACCGTAAAAATGAAAATAAATAATTTTTTTCTTTTTAAAACAATAAATTTAAAAATTACACAAGAGATATAAATGAAAAAAAAAAACAAAATAAAATTAAAAAAGATTCTCACCATGAGATTCGAACTCAGATCTCTTGATTTGGCATGCCAAAGCTTTACTCTGTCGACCATTGCCACTGTTGCAGCGCCCCGAGCAAAATGACATGCTTATGCTTTTCACGGGGGATGAAGAGGCAGTCTATCTCGTTAACTAGAATGATGCGACTAGTATTTCTACTGGTAGTGTGCTGATGCAGGAGCGGACAATTGGCAATTCCTATCACACCGCCATGTTAAAAATACCAGTCGCTAACATTGAAAAAGGATACAACGTGAACTAGTTGGGCTGAAACGCAAACTAGTAGCATTCTGGTTCACAACTGGTAGCTTTCCCTGCAGGGTTACCACTCATTGCTGTGCATGACTACTTGAGGGAAAAGGTACGTATGTAGTTGCTTGGCATACGCCTGTATGTATGCAACGTTCAAAGTAGAAAAGTTTGATTAGCATTGAGTGCCGCGTTGCCAAAGTTGCAAAAGTGTATAAAAATAGAACAGCAAATGTGAAAAATTAAAAGTAAAATTCAGTGAACTACACACGATTTTAACCACATATTTAAATGCAAGCCAAACAGGCGCTTAATAGGCGAAAAAAATATTTGTCTTTTTATCATTCATGAGAATGGCAAGTTGGTGTGTTACATTATAGAAATGAAAGTTGTAAAAAATATATGCAAGGAACGCACCCAGGTGCAAAAAACAAATGTTTTAGATTTTTTTCGGGTTGTTGGAAAAACTTCGATGCATCGAAAATATCGTTGTTTTGATTCGATGCATCGAAAATTTTCCACTCGATGTATAAATAGTCGATGTATCGATGCTTCGATGTTTTTTTTAAAAACTGACATCTCTTGTATATTGAACCGTCATGCCAGTTTTTCAATTGTACAAAAAAGAGATGTGACGTTGACCACAAAATTGAAATGGCTCCAAAAAGTTCCGTTAGAAACATAATTCGCTCAGTTGCAGTAATTTATTTTAAATTTCGATGTATGCCCTTCGATGCAACGAAAAATGTCCGTGTACATTTCGATCCATCGAATCAAAGAAAAACATCGATGTATTTTTGCCACAGACATCCCTAGGCACAATGGCGGCCAGAGGAAGTAATCGAACTGGAAGCTTACTTTCCACAATGCTCTTCAGTGTAAATTTTCGGATTAGTACATATCAGCAGACTGAGGTTTTTATTTAGTGAAACAATTTTATTTTTATTTTTTAATTCATGAAAAGATTTTCAATAAACATCTTCAAAACTGTTTATGCAGACGTATTCTTAAAATTCTGAAATTTGAAATTTTTGTATAGAAAATGGTAGGAAAATACCAAACACCAAATACTCAACATTCGATTTAATCGATTTATCGATCATCTATGTACTCGTTATAAATATTTAAAATCTAAATTGTTATTAAGTAATCGTTGATTTTGATATTGATATCGTTATCGACATATTGTTTATATCTTTATCATTGTTTGTGTTAATTTTGATTTATCGTTATTCATACCTAACATCATCATTTTTATCAATATCATTACCGATATTTCGATCTTTCATACGTTATTTCTATTATTATATTTAGTTTCGAGTACTATTTTTTACTCTAATAATATTTTAATCCTTATTAATGTCCGGTATGATTTTTTTTCGTCGATATCATTATCGATATTTTGTGCGTCATATTTATTTTTATCTACATTTTTATAGTTAATCGTTATTGGTATTATTATTGTTATCGCTCCCGACTGTAGATACCTTATTCGTTAACTTTTTATTATTATTACCATGATTTATCATTATCGGTGTGATTATTTTTATTGGCATCCTTGTTCAAAGTTTATTCGTTATCTTCATTTTGAGCAATATTTTTATAAAGATTTGCTATCTCTATCGATAAAATATTTTTTATCGATATCATATTCCATATTTTTCTTACTTTTAATTATCACTTTTAGCATATTTCGTGGCTATTGTTACTGGAAATATGTTTTTTTCAATAATATTATCGAGTTTTTATTGGCAATTTTTATTATTTACATTGTTATTGAAGTTACTTGTTATCGATTCGATTACTTTTATCGATATATTTATCAAATTTTATTGGTTACTTTTTTCAGTAAGTAACTCTGTACTTTTAGTTTTTTCTGTACGATTATTCATTATATTTGCTGTTATCGTTTTTTAACGTTATCGACATAAATATCAGCTGTTTTTTTTATATATTTTTTGGACACTTTCCTTCTCTCTCTCTCCCCCTCTTCCAGGTCTTCGTGAAGGACACTATAGTGATGCGCTGGTTTAAACTGTTTGCCTGGATGTCACCGATACTTTTCTTGTTGGCTTATGGTGTAGCACGATTCTTTCATCCAGACGACAATGTACAGTAAGTTTTTATTTTATCAATACATACCTTTTAATAATATGTGCAAAACATTTATCGACGGAACAATTGGCAACCTAAATCATGCAATTTTCAGGAGTTTTTCGTTTTTTTTTTTATTTTGTTCTCGGAGCCTTTCGGGTTTGTGGCAATTATTCGGGACTTTTTAAGAACCTTCGGCACTCCTCTATATATTTTTTTCTTTTTCAGTGTTACTCGAATTTATTTTTATTAATTTTGAGGTTTTTCGAGATGTGTGCATAATTTTTTCCGATTTTTTCACAAATTCCGGAAGCTTTTTGAAACTATTCATAAAATTTTAGGTATATTCTGGTCCTTTTCACCACTTTTCGGGAATTTTGGGATTTTTTTTTTTTTTGTTGTTTAGCGGTCCCATATAGTTTCATCGATATTTTCGGGATTTTTTCCCCCTTTGTCGAGATCTATTGACACCTATCGGATATTTTTTGTTTTGGTTATCGGGGTTTATCGAAGCTTTTCGGCACTTTACGAGCTTTTACGGGATAATTTTTTAGGTATTTTAAAATTTTCCCGGATTCTTTGTTGTTTTAGAGACATTAAGAGATTTTCTAGACTCTTTGATATTCATTGAAATTTTCCGTACTCTATTAGAATATTTTAAGACTTTTAAGAATTTTTCCCGTATTTTCGGCCCTTTTGCAGATTTTGTTATTTGTTTGGGCTTTTTTGATTTTTAATTTTATTAAAACGTTAGGCCTTTATTTTTACATACTAATCGTAGAAATCTCCGCTTACTCTCTGTTCATTTTCAGCTGCTGGATGGATGATAGTCTGCTGTTGTGGATTTTATCTGTACCCATTTGCGCTTCGCTCCTGGCCAGTTTTGGTAAGAAAAAAAAAATTGCCTTTTTTATTACAAGCTTTTATTTAACTTCACTTGTATGTATGCATGTATGTATGTACTTTGTATGTCCTGAACTTTGCAGTCAATATTTAACATACTTCCCGATGAGCTACACACTTGACAGATATCGCTATAAAAATTATGTCAATATGCTGCAACGAACTTTACAGTGGACTTTATTTTGACTATGACTACGAGCCAATCACTTTAATCCTATTTTTAGCTAATTTAAAAAAGTTTAATTAGATCAAGTTAGGGAACTTCCTAATCTTCTAATCTAATTATTTTATACTTTTTAGTTCTTGTTGTAATAAAAGCGTGTTTTTAGTTTTTTAACTATAATTTTATTTATTTTTCATCACCACTTTGTTATTATGCGATAAAAGAAATCTTACCATAAATTTTTTGCAGTCTTTCTCATCAACGTCTTGCGCGTTATTGTACGCAAATTGCATCCACAATCAGCGCAACCAGCACCATTGGCCATAAGAAAAGCAGTACGAGCCACAATAATATTGGTAAGTTGAATGAAGAAATGAATTGAAGAAACATACATACATACATGCATATGTACGTATGTAGGTACACAGACAAATATTGCATACACAAAGACATTCGAAAATAATCCAACCAATAGAAAAGTTGTCAGAAAAACAACTGACACATGCATTCAGAAGCGCTGCAAAGAAATCACTCAAACAAAGTGACTAAACAAATCACTCAAGTGACAAAAACTTTTGTGATTGCATACAGTTTACTTTCGAGCTGTGAGTTCGCGACATTCAGACTACATATTGACTATTTAAAAATTAATTTTTTTTTAGTGGCTGCTTATTCGACCCTTCAGATCATTTTGAACTTTCTTCCATAGCCAAACTGGATATTCTCGTTGAGTGATATGTTAATGAACATTAATTTTATGTACAAGTATATACTCGTTCTCTCAAGCTTATTCAGTTCAGTGTAAAACTAACCTTTCTTTCTTTATCTCTTCCTTTACAGATTCCCCTTTTTGGTTTGCAACACTTCCTCCTTCCTTATCGACCGGATACTGGCACTCCACTGGAACGCTTCTATCAAATACTGTCCGTGATCTTGGTGAGCCTACAAGGATTTGTGGTTTCGTTTCTCTTTTGTTTCGCCAATCATGATGTGACATTTGCCATACGCAGTCTCTTAAATCGCCTAATGCCCGGACTGGTCTCACCGCCGCCGCCAGGCACACACACTGGACAGATGGCCACCACAACGCCGAGTCGAGAGTTGGGAGTGTAAGGAGTTAGAAAATTCGAGAGAAGAGCAAGTAAAGCTTGGAAATACTACTGAGCGGGAAATGATTTTTATTATGGTCGCAAACTTTAAAGTGAAAATTGATTAGGAAGTGCGTTTCAAGTGAAGGTACAAATTTTTTCAAATAATATTGGTAGTTTTCCAAAAAAAAAACATTTATAAGAGACCAAAAATAATTTCAAATACCAAGAAAAAATATATTTATTTTATATTAAGCACAAAAACTGTTCCAGAGGGTCAAACCAACTATTCAAATAAACTATTTACATTTATTTTAAAGCAGGGACCACACGATTTGTACATTTGTACAAATTTGTATATTTTGACAGTCACAGAGTGGTGTTGTCTAGAAATAATGAGTTCAGCTCAATAACAACTTTCCAAAGAACAGCAATCTGTAACTGTGAAAATGTACAAATCTGTATAAATGTACAAATCGTGTGATCCCTGCTTTAAACTCTCAATTACATACAGTTATTGATGTATAACAGATAATAAAGCTTTTAAATGTATAAAAACCTATGTAAAAACATTACAGGTCGAGAAATATCAGAGAAACCAATGTAGTATTAAAAATACATATAGCAGCCAATAAAAATTAAATACATGCATATATGAACTGTCAGACAGCAAAAATTATGGTTTTATTAGTAAAAAGTGGAATTTATATTCAAGGTAAGTTTAAAATACCTGAAAACTTCTTAAAAACTCGTATAAAATCATTGAAATGGACTTCCGCTTAATAACATTTCACTGCACTGTTAACAAACAGAGCACTGCTACTAAAATGTTAACCACCTCCAACAGTTTTAAAGCCACCTCAAGCTATGCGACAACAGATGTCGCTGCTAGACTGCGAATGCGCCGCGTTTTGTGTCGGCAAAATTATCAATTTCTACCAGGCGACCATAAATCAGCAGCAAGGTGCCGCCTGGCACAAAAAGCGCTATAACTCGGCCAATTATGGACCGATTTTAGTGTCATGGGTATCATATGAAAGGGCATTGCTTAGCGCTGCTTCCCGTGACATTCGCTAGGTTATACGCCTAAAAGCAGACCTTCCATTTTGGAAAAACCATTCCAGAGCTGCCCTTTACGGCAAAATCACTGTGATCTATAAATTTGTTCAACAAGTTTTATATATTTTCGAAAAGGTCGAGAAATTTGACGTCTTTCAAGACTAAAACGAAAAATATCGGCCTATAAAAATTATCGAAATGATAGAAGTGAATATGCCCGTGCAGACCACTTTTTGAATAATTTTAATTTTTTAATGGCACGATTTTTGAAAAATTCAAAACTGGTTTCGAATATCCAAACCGTCGCAGAATCAAGTCCAATTTACAAAAATTCCAGTTTTGTTCGAAAAAAAACAAATTAGTTAAAAGGTATCGATTTTTCCCGCTGGGGTGGTTGATCAACTCACCCATCGACTTTTCAAAAACACAAATAGACCACTGTTACTAAAATGTTAGCCACCTCGAACAGTTTTAAAGCCACCTAAAGCTATGCGACAACAGATGTCGCTGCTGGACTGCGAATGCGCCGCGCCTTGTCGGCAAAATTCTCAATTTCTACCAGGCGACCATAAATCAGCAGCAAGGTGCCGCCTGGCACAAAAATCGCTATAACTCGGCCAGTTGTGGACCGATTTTAGTGTTATGGGTATCATGTGAAAGGGCATTGATTAGCGCTGCTTCCCGTGACATTCGCTAGGTTTTACGCCCAAAAGCAGACCTTTCATTTTAGAAAAACCATTCCAGAGCTGCCCTTTACGGCAAAAACACAGTGATTTATATATTTTTTCAACCATTTTTTTTATATTTTCTCACAGCTCGTGAATTTTCACGTCATTTATGATAAAAACTAAAAATATCGAAATTATAGTAGTGGATACGCCCCTCCAAACGGCTTTTTGAATAATTTTAATTTT